TGGCACTACCCGCATGTGCGAACGTCCATGTTGATTGATTGAGTTGGTCACTGGATTGAACGACATTTCAGATATTGCTGAGTCATCTAATGTCGCACCCAACTTTATTATTATTATTATTATTATTATTATTATCATTCGATTTCTGCTATGGACACACTACCTACAAGTCTGCGGAAAGACCTCTAATTATAAGCCACATCATATTAATTTTTTTTTTTTTTTTTTTTTTTTCCTCCGATGAAGTTGCTAGCGTTACATAGACAAAGTTCTCCTTAGTTATTTATTATTATTATTATTATTATTATTATTATTATTATTATTATTATTATTATTATTTATATTGTTATTATCATTATCCCATTTATTATGTTTTTATTGTTATATTATTTTTATGTTTATATTGTGGCATTTATATTACTTCTATTACAGTGCAATCCCTGACAATCGTAATAAGAAGGCCTTCCGAATATGAGGAATTGTTTACAAAGTCCGGATATGAGGGGTTATATTTAGATTAAAATAAAAAAAAATGAAATCACATGTTAACGTTACAAACTACTTCAAATAATTCTGTGGTTCAATAGTGTTTTCTTCCTTATTAACTCGATCGCATGAATTTGAGCGTGCTACTAGATCAAGAATTAGATTTTATTGTGGATTTAGCAATATTTAACTGCAAGTTCTAGTCTAACAGTTTTTCTGCGACTTTAAGGTGACTACTAGATTGGCAATTAGGTCACATCATTTTACTGCTGATATATCAAGATAAAACCGTTCTTAACTAATACAGTAGAATCCCTAACAACAGGACTAAGAAGGCCTTCCGGATATGAGAAATTGGTTACAAAGTCCGGATATGAGGGGTTATATTTAGATTAAAATAAAAGAACTGAAATCAGGCTTAACATTTATTTTCAAAACAAAATAAGTTAATGGTGAGTGAAATATAACGGAATTGATTTTAAGGAAAAAGAAATAAATTATGTAATGTTAATGAAAATTCATTAAATAAAGTATGCCACGTATGCAAAACAAATAATGTAACGAGGATTTTTTAATCGCTGTTGCATGATGATTCTTTCTCTTCTAATGTCATTCTCAACTTTTTCCGCATTTCGTTTTGCTTTTGTTCTTGAATTTTTTTTAAACGAAAGACAATTTTTAACTTTGCATGCGTTATTACAATCGTCATAGTTGAATGCTGGCTTTATTTACATAAAACTGACAACTTTTTCAATAGCTTTTCAATAGCTTTTTTCAATTTCAGTCCAGGTTTCACCACAATCATGTTTTTAATTTCCTTGTTCATTGTGACAGTGTGAACGCTGGAGAATAGTTTCTTTGGAAGATTTTATATCATGCAATGCTGACTTTTCTATGTTGAACTCAGCCATTAGTTACAATATACTTTCATCAGTGTCTAGTCTGTTTAAAATTTCCACTTCTTGTGATAACTCCAAAGTTGTTCTTTTCCTCTTATTCCCATCATCTTTTGCACCAATACAAGCCATTAGGGTGAAATAAGCAGAAGCAATTATCCCAAGTAAATTTTCTGAGAAACAGAAATTTCAAATAAGTTATATATCACCCAAATAGTTTAAATATACACATCAAAAACATATCTGATATGCGGTATTCCGGATATGAAGAATTCTGGATATGCGAGATTCCGGATATGAGGCATTCCGGATATGAGGGATTCCGGATATGAGGCATTCTGGATATGCGGGATTCCGGATATGAGGCATTCTGGATATGCGGGATTCCGGATATGAGGCATTCCGGATATGCGGGATTCCGGATATGAGGCATTCTGGATATGAGGGATTCCGGATATGAGGCATTCTGGATATGCGGGATTCCGGATATGAGGCATTCTGGATATGAGGGATTCCGGATATCAGGGGATTCTATGGATTCCGGATATGGGCATTCTGGATATGAGGTTCGGATATGAGGCATTCTGGATCTGCGGGATTCCGGATATGAGGGATTCCGGATATGAGGCATTCTGGACATGAGGAATTCCGGATATGAGGCATTCTGGATATGCGGGATTCCGGATATGAAGAATTCTGGATATGCGGGATTCCGGATATGAGGCATTCTGGATATGCGGGATTCCGGATATGAGGCATTCTGGATATGAGGGATTCCGGATATGAGGCATTCTGGACATGAGGGATTCCGGATATGAGGGTTTCTACTATTATTATTTAATAATATTATTTTTATATTTAGGAGACTATAGCAATTTGTTTTTTTTAATTCATTAATATGACAGATTTTTATAACGTAAAAGTTATTTTTAGTCGATATTTATATTTGAGTAGACACCCGTTTATATATTAAACAATATATTTATTTATTTTTGTTTACTGGACTGAATATTCGAGTTCTTCGGCAGAATTCGAATTTGTGTCCACCATTTAACAGAAGAAACGGCCGCTCGTCTACTGAAATAAAATTAAGTAATAAAAATCTGTTTCATTAATTAAAAAAAATCTTTATAAATTGCTTTGTTTACGTTAGGATACTAAAGTGAGCAGATATTAAAGCTTCAAACGTCTGGAAGAGAGTTGCGTGTATGAGGCACTTTTCTATCATTTAAAAGAAATACATGAATAATATATATAATTAAAATAATAATAATGTCTCGCCTTGGCTTCGCAAAATGAAGATCAAGAAGGAGTCCGTACTCGTCGCTTTCAGGTACGTTTGTGACTGATAAGTCCACTGCAGGACAGGGATACACGGTCGCAGTAGTTGCAGCTGAAAGTCTGTCTTGGGCTCGATGGCATAGCGTTGCAGTACTGCCTCCTCTGCGTCTTGTCCCCATAGAGCGGCCCTGCAGGTATTTTCAAAGCTGGAGACAGCATGGTTGGTGGTAAGACGCCAGGCGTCACGGTTCTTCATCTAGGGTTGACCATTGGCAATGGATAATGTGACAGGCAACAAAGTATTTTTCAGGCCATCTTTGAATCGCTTCTTTGGTGCACCTCGGCAAAGATAGCCAGTAGAGAGCTCGACGTATAATAAAATTTTAGGCCGGCGATGATTTTCCATCCTGGAAACATGTCCAGCGCAGCGTAACTGGGACTTCAGCTCAATGTTGATTATCTTCATCTTTTCGAAGAACTTCAGTATTGGAGACAAAGTCACTCCAGTGTATTTTAAGGATTGTACGGAGGCAGCGCTGGTGGAATCGTTCGAGGAAATAATAATTATATTAAAAATAATAATAATAATAATAATAAAGAAAATAAATATAAACAAATAAGAAAATAAAATTTATTAATGACATTTACTCACTTTCGTTAATTAGGCATTGCATTACATCACTTGGCGTCTTCCATACTTTACCTTTCCTTACACAATTTTCTTTCTTTTTTTTAATCGAGATCACCCCAAGCAAGGCAATAAAGCCACTAAGACACAAGGAGGTTAATGGCCGTGGAAAAATTAGAAAACAGAAAGTTGACTAATTAACGAGAACAAAAGAAGGGTGACCAGAAGATTAGATTGCGATTGACATTGCATTTAATTTTTTGACAATTAAAGTTGTCTGGAAAGCATGAAGCAGGAAGAGAGTTCCACAAACGAGAAACGTGAGAAAAGATCCTATTAGCATAGAACTTGCTGTTACATCTGGCCAATTCAACTGTAAATTGATGGGACCTTGTCGCCAATCTAGTACCTGCGCTTAAATTCATAAAGTCTGGGTACTACCATAGCGAAGAGCGATATTTTTTTCCGCTTCAATACAGAAAAATGTGACACAAGGCCAAAGATGGGGAATGGGGAAAAGGACGGTCTTGTTCTGTCTTAATGTTAAACTTAACTAGCCACAAACACTGACCCAAACATACCACAATATTCTTCACACCAATCAACACATTCTTACCTTTCTTACAACATCCACCGTAATACCACATTGTCTCTATGAAAATCCGAACTAGTCCCCATATGTACAATTCATTGTCTGGGCGAGGGGAATCTAGCCCCAATTAGTAGTTACAATATGAAAACACAACTATTTACAAGAAACCAAGCAAAATAATGTAATAAAACCCCCTGCAATTCTTAAATGTGACAGAAATATCAGTTAACCGGACGAAATCATACCATAGCGAAGTGATAATCCGAACAATTACCATGGAAATATTTATAAACAAAAAAAAAGGCACAGGGAAGAAACTTTACGGTGGTGGAAAAACCACTCAAGCCGAGACACCAGATCAACACCAGTAATATTGCTAATTCATCTTTGGATTTTATCAAGGATCTCTAGATATATAGCAGAAGCACTGGACCGTATATGACACTCTTTGGGTCCTGCTACTGGATCTAACCAACGGCTTTATCCACTGTGTCATGTGTCCTCAAAAGAACCCAAATAGTGTGAGTTCAATACCCGGTTAAGGCAGTGGAGAACTTGGAGAGGGGAATAAACAGGAGATAACTGATAACTGACATCCGTTAAAACATGGTACGTGGAACTAGAACAGTCTACACCAGTGATCAAAATAAAGGATTCAGTTTGACATTCCAACAACCTGAAGAAGGCCGGAGCGTACAACGGCCGAAACGTTGTAATAAATATGGCGATAAATATGAGGACAATAGTCCGAATAATGTAAATAGTGTACATGATACCTCATTTCAGAAATATAGACAGATACTGAAAGGCCGAAACGTTGTAACAAATATTGCAACAAAGATGAGGACAATAATCCGAATAATGTAAATAGTGTATATAATACCTCATCTCAGAAATATAGACAGATACTGAAAGGCCGAAACGTTGTAATAAATATGGCAACAAAGATGAGGACTTTTGAGTCTCAGTACTAAGATTGTACTTCTTCAGCCGATGGTAGATAAGTAATGATTTATTATGGAAATTAAAAAAATAAACTTCTTTACCTCTTTCCGTAAGTTAAAAGCGGGGTCATACTAATTTTTTGCCGATATACTGTCATCCTTCGACCAATGTAATGCTTTTGTCCTTTATGTATGTATGGTAACCAATAACAACAATAAACATACAGGTAAAAACAATGACATTAACATTTTCTATAAAAATTAAATAACGGTAACTATAAGCAGGGTGTTTTTTTTACTGTTGGAAACATTATAACGCTGGTTATAATTATTTAATTAAAGAGAACATTTATTCAAATAAGTGTATCCATAAATAATAACGTATCTTCTATGTTCACTTTTATATTTACACACGCTCTATCTCTGATATTGAGCACTTTATCCCATAAATATAGCACACTTTAAGAGTATATTTCTTCATATATATATATATATATATATATATATATAATGTTCTCAGATTTAAATCTGAATGTATAACGTCATTTTTTTTCATAATATATCTCTGAATTTGTCATTGATGAATATAAGAGCTTTAATTTGGAGGCGTATATATATATATATATATATATATATATATATACACATGCATATATATATATATATATATATATATATATATATATATATATATTTCCCTCTTTATTTCTGTTATCTCTTCTCTTTTCCTCTCTTGAATGTCTTCTCGTTTTCGCTCTTCCTGTCTTTAGTCACTTTTCTTCCTATTTCTCATTCTTTTTCTCTCTTTTATGCCTTCTCTTTTTCTCTATTTCAGGTTTTCGCGTCTTTGTTTCTTTCTGTTATTTGTTTCTATCTCTTCTCTTCTCTTTCTTTCTTTCTTTCTTTTTTCTTTCTTTCTTTCTTCTTTACTTATCTCCCTCACCCTCTTTATTTAATTCTTGCCTTCTTTCTCTCTTTCCTTCTTCACTTCTATATCCCTTTCTTCCTTTCTTTACTTCTATCTCTCTTTCTTTCTTTTTTCTTTAATTGATTTCTTTCTTTCTTTCGTTCTTTCTTTCTTTTAAGACTTTTCTTTTCCTATCTTTTTTGCCCTCCCTCCTGTCTTCCTATTTTTTAGTACTTCCCCCCCCCCTTCTCTCTCTCTGTATTTGACATTTCTTCACTCCAGGTCTTTCTTTCTTTCTTTCTTTCTTTCTTTCTTTCTTTCTTTCGCTTTCACTTTCTGTTGATTTCTACTTTTGGAACTTTCTCTCCTTCTTTCTCTCTGTTGCTTTTTCTTTTTGTATCTCTTTCTATCTTTTTCTGTCAGTAATGTCTTCTTCTTCTTCTTCTTCTTCTTCCCTCTGTAGCTGTCTCGTTTATTTCTTCATATGGTACTTTCTCTTCTCTCTTTCTGTTTTTTAGCATCTCCCCCTTTTCTGTCATCGGTGCCTTTTCTTCTCTTTGTCCTTTCTTTCTTTCTTTCTCTCTTTTTTTCTTCTTTCTTTCTTTCTTTCTATACTTCTCTGTCTCTTTTTTTCTTTCTCTTTTTCTTTCTCGCTTTTGTGATTTCACATCACTTTTAAGTCACTGGGCTCCGTTCTTGTTTCTTTCCTTCTTTTAGTAACTTCTTTTCGCTTTCACTTTTTTTTTGCCCACTCTTTCTGTCATTGGCGTCTCCCATTCTTTTCTTCCCTTCCCTGTGGTTTACTTTTCTTCGCAAAATTTCTCTTTCTTTCTTTCTTTCTTTCTTTCTTTCTTTCTTTCTTTTTTTTTTTTTCTTTCTTTCTTTCTTTTTCTTTTGTTCGTTTTCTTTTTCCTTTCTTTCTTTTGCTTTTTTTTCGTTCTTTCGTTCGTTCGTTCTTTCTTTCTTTCTTTCGTTCTTTCTTTCGTTCTTTCTTTCTTTCGTTCTTTCGTTCTTTCGTTCTTTCACTCTTTCTTTCTTTCTTTCGTTCGTTCTTTCTTTCTTTCTTTCTTTCTTTCGTTCTTTCACTCTTTCTTTCTTTCGTTCGTTCATTCTTTCTTTCTTTCTTTCTTTCTTTCTTTCTTTCTTTAATCCTCCAATAGTTTTCTCATTCTATCTCTCTTTTTTACAGGCTATTTCTTTCTTTCTTTCTTTCTTTCTTTCTTTCTTTCTTTCAGCTTCCAATAATTTTCTCATTTTATCTCTCTTTTTACAGGCTTTTTGTTTGTTTGTTTCTTTCTTTCTTTCTTTCTTTCTTACATTCTTTCTTTCTTTCTTTCTTTCTTTCTTTCTTTCTTTACCGTTTTTTTGAGTGCCGCTCTCTTTATTTTGTGAATCCCGTTATTTTCTCTTTTCCGCTCTGTTTTCTTTCTTTCTTCTTTTTCTTCTTTCTATAGCTTTTACCTTTTTCTATATTGCTGTCTTTGGAACTTTCTCATCTTCTCTTTGCTTGTTCTTTTTCTCTTTCTCTATTTCTTTCTTTCCGCTTTTTTTAGAGTACCGATATGTTCTCTTTTTCTTTCAGTCTTCTTTCTTTCTCTTCTTCTCTTTTTCTTTCTGCTTTTTTCTCTCTTTTTGCCTTCTCTCTTGACGACCTTTCTATTTTTCTTCTTCTCTCTACTCTTTTTCTCATTCTTGAATTTTTTCATTTATGTTATTTCATTTATCTTGTCTCAAATGTTTCTTCATTCCTTTTCATCAACTCTTTTCTTTCTTTCACGCTTCCTATCTTTCTTTCTTTTCTCTTTCTTTTTTCTTTCACTCTTTCTTTCTTTTCTCTTTCTTTTTTCTTTCACTCTTTCTTTCTTTTCTCTTTCTTTCTTTCTTTCTGTCTCTCTTTCTTTCTTTCTTCCTTTCTTTCTTTCACTCTTTCTTTCTTTCTTTCTTTTCTCTTTCTTTCCTTCTTTCTTTTTCTTTCTTTCTTCTTCCTTTCTTCCTCTATTTCTTTCTTTTTTTCTTTCTTTCTTTCTTTCTCTCTTTCTTCCTTTCTTTCTTTCTTCCTCTCTTTCTTCCTCTCTTTCTTTCTTTCTTTCTTTCTTTCTTTTCTCTTTCTTTCTTTCTTTCTTTCTTTCTTTCTTTCTTTTTCTTTTTCTTTCTTTTCTCTTTCTTTCTTTCTTTCTTTCTTTCTTTCTTCCTCTCTTTCTTTCTTTTCTCTTTCTTCCTCTCTTTCTTTCTTTCTTTCTTTCTTTTTTCTTCTTTTTTCTTTTACTCATTTCTTTCTTTTCTTTTCTTTCTTTCTTTTCTTTTCTTCTTCTCTTTTCTTTCTTTCTTTCTTTCTTTCTCTTTTTCTTTCTTTTCTTTTCTTTTCTTTATTTCTTTCTTTTCTTTCTTTCTTTTCTTTTCTTTCTTCCTTTCTTTCTTTCTTTCTTCCTTTCTTTCTTTCCTCTTTCTTTCTTCCTCTTTTCTTTCTTTCTTTTCTTTCTTTCTTTCTTCCTTTTTCTTTTACTTTTTTTTTTCACTCTTTCTTTTTTCTTTCTTTCTTTTTTTTTCTTTCTTTCTTTTTCTCTTTCCTTCTTTTCTCTTTTTTTCTTTCTTTCTTTCCTCTCTTTCTTTCTTTTTTCTTTTTCATTTCTCTTCTTTCTTCTTTCTTTCTTTCTTTCTTTCTTTCTTTCCTTTTTTCTTTCTTTCTTTCACTTTTCTTTCTTTTTTTCTTTTTTCTTTCTTTTTTTTCTTCCTCTCTTTATTTTTTTTTTTCTTTCTTTTCTTTCTTTCTTTTTTCTTCCTTTCTTTTCTTTTTTCTTCCCTTTTTTCTTTTCTTTCTTTCTTTTCTTCCTCTCTTTCTTTCTTTTTCTTCCTTTTCTTTCTTCCTTTCTTTTTTTTCTTTCTTACTTTTCTCTTTCTTACTTTTCTCTTTCTTTTCTTTCTTTCACTCTTTCTTTCTTTTCTCTGTCTTTATTTCTTTCTTTTCTCTTTCCTTCTTTTCTCTTTCTTTCTTTCTTTCTTTCTTTCTTTTCTCTTTCTTTCTTTATTTCTGTCTTTCTTTCTTTCTTCCTCTCTTTCTTTCTTTTTTTTCTTTCTTTCTTATCAACCTCTTTAATTTTCCCAATTTGCTCTTCCACCATTTTTTTATCCCATTCCTCTTGCTGAACTTTCTTTTCGGCATTCACGTCCAGTTTTCCTTGGAACTTCGTTTTCCTCTTTCTCCATTTTAAACTCTAATCAAAATACACCTTCAAACAAAACAAGTAAAACAAGCGTAGAATAAAGTAACAGCATCGGCGTGGCTTAACCCCGTGTTAGATCCTCAGAACCATTAACGAATAAGCAAAGTTGATCAAGTGGTTCCCCTCAGGTGTGAATTATGACATCGTTCGAAAGGGGGCGAAAAAAATAAGGATACAAACAGCAGGCGGGGGATGAGTTGAGGTGGATTGGCAGGATAGCTATTTAAGAAAGCACAGGGAGATAGGGGTCGAAGCGGAGATTTCAGGGTGACACGAAATAGACTAACTGACGATCCCTTGGCTCCAAGTTAAAATAATCGCCTGGATAAGGAAGCCAGGTAATTGGGACTCGTTCATTAAAGTGTTCGATAGTTGACGAGGATGTCAAGAATTCCTAGCTGTTAACGATCAAGCATAATTCGGTATTCTTGAACCGAAATCTACGTGCATATATATGTGTGTATTTGTGTATGTCTATATGTGTGTGAGTCCGTGTGTGTTTGTATTAGAGGTGGAGAGATAAAGAGATAGTGAGGAAAAGACAGATGGAGACAGAGAAAGAAATAAGAGAACGTACAAAGAGGGAATAGTTGAAATTAATTCCTAGAAATATTTTTTAAACATATATTTTCTTAAAATTTCACATAGTATTATATGTGTGCGTGTGTGTGTATGTAGGGTGCGATGGGTGAATTGTCGCCATTTTATATTTCGTTTTCACGCATGCGCGTTTGTTTTCTTTATTTTATCGACTGCACATTATAGTAGGTTCAGTTGGGCACCTTCTGTGAGAAAAAGGGGCAGCATGACATAATTAACTCCGCCAGAAATATGGAAGTGACACACTGTACTGCTTGGCATTCGCACCGGAATACTAATACGAAGATTTCTGAGTGTTTCGGTGTCAATTTGAGGAAAGCGCAGAGGATTCGGAAAGAGTTGGATGAGTTTAATGTCTAATTACGAATTTTTTCAGTTTTGGCGTGATTACTAGTGATGGGAAGAATATGTATTCGTCATCCTCAGGAGTTGAAGTTTTATAATAATAATAATAATAAGAAAATCTTGATCCTAAAATGTTATTATGTCTTATCAGTATAAACGATATATATATATATATATATATATATATATATATATATATAAAAATTTATTTAAAATATGATTATATATATTAAAAATGAACAAAATCCGACAATTTATTTATCCCCCTAAATACATTTTATGTTTAACGTTCTTTTTTATATATACAAGTATTTAAAAAAAGCACTGTTTATAATAAACAGTATTAAATAACATTTACCGCCTGGGTCTCCCAATTTTCATAGAAAATATTCGTCCTTTGACAGCATTCGAACCTGCATCCTATACAGAACCGTCATTTACGCTTTTGGTTGAATTTTGCTTATCTAATTCAACCTTGCCAAAGGAACGATCCTTTATGGCCGAAGTTGGGTTCTAATCCTGTCAAGGACTATTTTTGATTGGCAAATACGAATATTCATAAAAACTGAACGTTGAAACAATAAAAATGATATCTTATTAAAAAGAACGTTAAATAAAAATGAATTTAACATTTATATATATGGATAAATTGTCGTCTAAATTACAAAAAAAATAAACATAATACTGATATCTCATTTTGATTGATATATTTACCAAAATTACACAAAATATCTTGAAATTGTAAAGAGGAATTTTGTTCAATAAAATCGCCATTGGCTTCAAACAATTCTGAATCTCCTGCAACTCTTCTGGGTGGTTTCCTTATTTTAGTTGGTGAACGCTACAATAATCCTTGCATTCAGTTCATCTTTGATGTTTCAAGAGTTTTGTTGGCCTCACGCTCAATTGCGCCTGACACATATTAATCCAGTGGGTTGCAGGCTAGAGAGTTAGTTGGCCAGATGTAAGAGACGATGTGTTCGAAGAAATTGTCTGACTGCCATGATTGGGTTCCCCTGCTTGTGTGACATGGTGCAGAGTCCTGTTGCCATACATATGGTCTTCCGGCTGCCACTCTATTGACCCAAGGCAACACTACCACCTCAAGGCACTTGATGTAGTCCTACGTGTTGAGTCTGAGGCCCTTACCAGCAAATGCTGTAGTTCTTTTCTTATCAGAACGATCAGAGTGAAGTTTCCGATCTGCCGTCTTTTATATCACCAGTAGACTCATCCAACAATTTCCGACAAGGTCCGATAGCTAAATTGTCGCCATGTTTATTTTTAATTTCACTCATGCGCGTTGTTTGTTTTTGATTTTATCGACGGCACAGTATAGTCGGGCCACCTGGGCACTGTCTGTGAGAAAAATAGCACCATGACACAATACACTCCGCCAGAAATTTGGAAACGTCTTGCTGTACTACTTGGCATTCGCACCAGAAGCTCGAATATGAACATTTCAGAATGTTTCAGAGCGTCAATGTGAGGACAGGGCAGAGGTGTCGGAAATTGTTGGATGAGTCTACTGGTGATTCCAGTCATATCCATTTATTCACTTACGTGCTAATTCCCTTGGGAAAGATTAATCATCTTCTTCTCCCCCCACCCCAGCTATGGGTAAATAGCAGGGCAGTCAGGGTTCTATAGCCTTGGATGGCAACTGGTCTGGGAGAAGGACAACTGTGAATTCAAAACCTGCGGATGCTCGTTCGGGGACATTGTGGCACGTAGTGCACCAGATCTCTCTATTTGGACCTTCCAAATGCGTGGTTGGTTCTGCACAAAAGCCTTCACCACTATAATCAAATCATATGTGCTGGTGTCTGGGCTGCCGGTTCCTAGGAACTGAGCTGCTTGACCCTCATACATCGAATACGACGAGAGAGCCCACCATGTATATATATATATATATATATATATATATACGTGTGTGTGTGAATATGTACGTGTACTAACATGTGCACTGGGTTAAATAGGAAATAATAGTAAATAATAACGGAAGTTTTTGTTTCAATTAATTTGCACAAGGGTATAGTTGTAGAGATTGTGTGTATGATAGGGTTTATAGGATTAAAAATAATTCATCACCCTCAAGGCCGCGTAAACGCTTTTCCACTTCTGGATGGTTGCAACATAGTCTCATTATATTAGGGTAGGAGATTGAAACATTGGGGTTTCATTTTTTATGGATGATCTGGATTTGAATTTATTGTGCGTGTGTGTGTGTGTGTGTGTGTGTGTGTGTGTGTGTGCGTGCGTGTGTGTTCGCGCGCGCGTGTGTGTCTGTGTGTGTCTGTGTGTGCGTGTGCTATCTTTGATAATTCTTTACACTATTTAGATTCGGATTATTTTCTTAAAAAATCATTTCACCTCATGCAAGGCAGTAAAGAAGCAAAAACAATTGAAGAATAATCAGGAAGACAGCAGATAACGATTGAAACTGCATCTAAATTTTTGAACATTAGAGTTGGTTGGAAAGCGTACAGTCGGAAAAGATTTCCACAAGCGAGAAGTGTGAGAAAAGAGACTGCTAGCATAAAACTTACGGTTACATTTGGCCAGTTCAAATGTGAATTGATGAGACCTTACCGCCAATCTAGTACTGCACTTAAATTCATAAAGTCTAGCTACCATAGCGAAGAGCTCATCCGAAATAAACTACGACGAGAGTATTTATAGAAAAGACATAGGGAAGCAACTTTACGCTGGTTGGACTAAGGCCGAGACGCCAGGTCAGGATCAATAATATTGCTGATTCTTCTTTGGATTTTATCAAGAAGCTCTATGTAAATTCCAGTTGCACCGGGCCATATATGGCAGCAATATTCTAAGCATGGACGAATGGTTTGGTTTGTTTTACAGCATATCAACGCCAATGGTTTATTTAATGCCGACAAAATTTATTTTGCTGTTAATATTTTGTTTTTGTTAAAAATCTATTTCTGGTAATAGTTTTCCTTCAAAAAGTATATTGCTAGTAATAATTTTTTTTTCTACAAAAAATTATTGCTGGTAATAAATTTTTATGAAGTATTTCTGGTATTAAAACCTATTTCTACACTTTCATAGTGTTTTTACCACAGTGTCCAGGTTAATTATTTGCCCATAGCTGGTACCCTAACAGGTGCTATCACCCCGGGTCAGGGTGGACCTGGGAACACCAGCAGTTAAGAGGTGGTTCCACGTTCATAGTTGTGATGTTTGATACTTCAATGTCTGACATCGACTGACTCGCTCAACTCCACTGAGCTCAACTGGCCACTGCTACTACTACTTATTATCTGTGGGAGAGTCTATTACAATAGAATAGGTAATGTTCTGGTATAACAGTATATGACCGCTTATATATGCCTTTCATTGTATGTATATGTTGTTTTTTTTTGTTTTTTTATAAGGGTCGTGGACACCTATTTCCTGTTTCGTTCGCGTTTTTGCGTGTTTATATATCTAAATATGTCTACGTGTTTGTGTATTATAATCTCATTGTGTATGTATTGTCTTTTGCAAGATTTCACCCTCCCCTACCCATATCATCACTTCAAATATATTTAAGTTGTAACGAAGCTCAGAGCAACATTAGATTTTAACGTTTATTCTAACTGAATCTTTGGCTTTTCAATAAAAACAAAATAAATAACAAAACATATTTTTTGCTCAGTTTCTTCTTTAAATTATTTTATAATTTTTCAAACTTAATACAGATTAAATTTAAAATTGGTAATTTTTAATTTTCACTTTTATAGTAAAATTTAATATTAATGAGTTAGAATGAATTCTATTTTAGTCTAACCCTAACATTAAAGCATTAATTATTATAAAAAAAGGTTCGTTGTCAAGTTTTTTGAATTCTCATATACTTGCATTTTGATTGGTCATTGCAGCTTATGCAACAGCGTTTCCTCTAACGGGGTGGGGGGTGTTTGATTGATTTCAACATTTTAAAACCCTTTATTCTACATTGAACACCATTACTTGATAAGGCAACAGAAGTGTTGAAACAAAATAGCTATTTTTGTAGTGATTTTATAACATATTTATGTTATAATTTTCGAATAAATTATATATGTATATGTGTGTGTGTGTGTTTGTATGTGCGTGTGCGTGTGTGTGTGGGGGTGTCGGATGTGACAGCATAACTGTCATTCCCACAAAATGTTTCATATCTAAAAAATAAACACACTAAACTGGTTGACGTTTAGCCATCTTGATAACATTTATTGTGAGAATCACTGAAAAACACTTTGCGTTATTCAACTAGAAAAAGAACAGGTTAAAATCGTTTTGTGTCAGCCTCACTACCTTCTCAACTGAGCAATGGTTAGAAGAAAAAAATCATTCAGACCTTCAGTAATGGTACCAACATTCATACTCTGGCTTCATATTTCAAAGTCTATTCAAGAACCATCAAGAGAACGGTGAATAAGTTTGAAAAAGAGGAAACAGTGGAAAGGAAAGCGGAACCAGGAGGTCACATCAAGAAGAGGTATCATCATTTTAACTTAGACCTAGAGAGATCAATTAGAAAAGATCCAATTCAATCCATAAGATGTTAGGCACATGAGAGACGAGTTTCAGATATGACAGTCCAAAGAGCAGTGAAAAAAGACTTGAAAATGAAATTATACGTGAAATGTCTGGGTCACCTTCTTACTCCAGAACAGAAAGAAAGTTAGAAGGCGAAAATCATCTTGAATAAGTTGGAAAATGACCCTGGAATAATGTATATGCATTTGAACTTTATTTTAATCCTTCATGAGCTTTCGATCCTTAGCTATGATTAATTAATGATGAACATGGAATTTTCTTTTATGATCGATTTCACCACGATTCTTCTGTTAAGCTTGGAGAGTAATTATACATTCGTATTACTCAAAGTAGAGTCCAATAGTGTTATAAAAACCTCGGAGAATTCCAGTAAGATATATTTAATCATTTTTAAGATACAGCAGTTCAAATCTTAATGTAACAATTGTACAATTTTGCTGTTACATGATTTGGACAATTTTGCTGTTATACCCGGCACTCTCCCGTCTTCTTCAATCAGCGCTAGGTGGCGTGTTAGGCAGAATCATCCCCAACTTTCGGAAGAAGTGAATACAGAGAACTGTGCTGCCACAAGGTCCCCCAAATATTCTGATTTTGTATTCAGACTTGACCGTCTTCTTGACTGATTTCGATCCAAGGGTAAAATCTACGTTTTTTTTTTTGGGGGGTGTCTAATAGGTAGGAGGTAAGAAGAGATGGATTCATACCTTTCCCAAAGATGCCATATATGATCTTGTGCCCCCGCCGTTCAACTGGAGGTCCACGTCAAAATTCAAAGATGGATATACAATGTGATAGATCCTGATCTGGCATCTTGTCTACAGTCACTTTCTCAGAGACGTGCTGCGGCTTCCCTCTGTCTTTTCTAAATATATTTTCATGCCATCTACTCTGACGAGCTAGTTTCACTGGTACTCCAACTGCAGGAATTTAAGCGTGCTACTAGCTTGGCATCTCGGTCACACCCTTTCACTGTCGAAACGGTTAAATGTAACCGTCCCTTCTACTCTGCTTCTGCTTCTTCTCTTGCACTTCCCGACAGTGGAACTCCCTTCCTGTTACTTGCTTCGCTGATTGCTATAATCTCCAAATATTCAAATGTAATGTCAATCGACATCTTCTGATGTTTTGATCCTGATCCCTGTCCTTCGTTATATCCTTTCCCCAAACACCCCTCTTTTCTCTTGTTCTCACTCTCTGTAAACCCTTGTGTGCTATTGGCGCTCCGGCCTTGCCTGCGGTGATATGCATTAAAAAATGCCAATATAAGGTTACTCGACTTAAAATCGAACTCGTATCTCTGGATTATAATTCGGAGACTCTGTCCATTACTCTTCCTCACTCACGATTCTGAATGCCTGTAAAGTGTGTATGAATCTCTTGCTGTCTAATATGTCTTTTTGATTTCGTGGGGAAACTTCTAAAATTTTATCGCCGGCGTGATATTGATAAATATTAATTTTTGAGTTGCTTACGGATATATCACGTTGAAACACTGGCTCCTGTAAGATTATCGGAGCCTGGTCATTACCTAGATTGGTGGCCACTTGGGAATATCAGCTGGTGTACGCTTGGATGTACGGGTGGTGTATATAATAACGGCTCGAAATTGGATCACGGCACTCCGATTTCCAATGCCATTCGAGTTTGTTATATTCAGATATCCTTGCGGAAAAGCATATATTCGCTTCTTCTCCCCCATTTATGGGTTAATTAAAAGGACTTGCGTCAGTAAATCATTATTATCTCCGAAAAGTTATAACAATCTAAATCTATCTTCTGACTTTAAAATAAACTCCAAAAAGTTTATAAACCTTAAAAAAACAAATCAGTCAATCAATAATTTGTGTGTTTGACACAAGACAGTTAAATACCTATTCTTTTATATAACGTGGTTCTTTAAGATGAGCGCAATCATGCCTCTCCATAACTTTCGATTTCAGTGTAGCCCTAAACAATGCTTGTCCCCTTATTATTTGATGTAATGGAATAACCAGTCACCCCCTTGAATGATTACACTATAGGTAGTAAGAACCTATAAAGTCAGCTGTCTATAAGAGACTTCAGGAAAAATGAGAGAGAGAGAGAGAGAGAGAGTAGTGCTCTCTCCTGTTCTTCACTGTCAAACTCTTTGCCTTGAGCAGAGAGGAACCCGGACGAGGCTTTGCCGAAGGGCAAAGTTTCGTCCGGGAAGGTAGACAGACCCTGAACCCGTTTATACGGGTTCTGAGGGAATATTTTTGTTCGAGCCTACGAGCTAGGAGAACCCATGGTAAACTCGGCCTTGTGCCACATACATCCTTCGTGTTTGTGTGTGGGGGTGCTGTTAAATATTAAGAGTGCGAGCGAGAAGACGCAAGCACATCCGGCCTTCCAATTAGTGGTACTCACTACTAGATTCACCTGTGTGCATAACTACCATATTTCATATTGTACTGGTTGTGTACAATAAATCTTTCTTCTATTATCCACCTGGTGTTAAGTATTTATTCCCTTAGCATGGAATACATCATTATTATTATGACTAGTCACTGTTTTGCCAACAATTTACAAAAAAAAAAAAAACGCGTTAAGTGAGTTATTGTCTCTTTCCCGCAGCCCATTTTGGATCAAATTCTCCAAGCTTCCTTTCCTCACGTCGTCCTGGGTAAGATGTTAAACTTGATCCGCGTCCTGGGTAACACGTGAAACTACATCCGCGTCCTGGGTAAGACGATAAACTACATCCAGCAGCAAGGCCTCTGATCAGGAGGTTTTGAGGAGCGTGGAACCACCTCTTAATTACTGGTGTTTCCGGGCCCACCCTGACCCGGGGTGGTAGCACTAGTTTGGGTCCCAGATATGGGCAAATTGTTAACTATTACCAGCAATACTTTTTTGAAAAAAATTATTACCAGCAATACAATTTTGAAGGAAAAATACATATTACCAGAAATAGATTTTTGACAAAACAAAATATTACCAGCAATAAAAATGTTGTCGGAATTAAATAACCCATTGAGGTTGATATGCCGTAAAACAAAATAAACCAAACCAAACCTTTCCTCAAGATGCTTAGGGT